ATTAAGTAAGTGACCCTCATAGTAAGTGAATAAGGCATGATATAAGGGAATTAAGATTTGGGTTTTACCCATGACCATTACTATAAGTTACCATGACAGATGAGAAAGGGAGAGGGTAACCTTGAGTAACCCTGAGTTCATTTCCTTCCAGAAGAGTCCAAACCCTTGAGATATTATCATCAGACTAGAGGCTTGTCTGTGTCCCCAGCATGAAAGTTGGACTCACATGAATGGCCTAGGGACTTCAACTCTAGTGATTCGAAGTTTGTTTTCCTTCCAATGGGATGTCCAGTTGAGGAAAGGTGGAGGAGGTGGGGGGAATTATAATTGTTTACAGGCAACTTTATGCCCTTATGTATCTTCTCTAAGGTGAAATAAAGACAATCCTGTACTGATTACATTGTTGCTTTGAATGAATGAATAGGCTCTAATAACCCTCTTTCCAATACCAGTGGAGACCTAGACATGAACCTATATTCAAACTAGTCAGAGAGTTCTCTGAGAGAATCTCTGACTAGGGGCAAAATACATCAAAGAGATATGATCTGGTGGCTGCTGCCAAAAATGAACCTGTTCAGTATAAACCCAAAGAATTGGGTGACAAGTCACAGGTTACATATGTAATAGTGTGCCATAATTTACAGAAAGTTGGCCTCAAGAGCTACCACCTCTGATACAGAGTGGCTGTGTGAGCCCAAGCAAATCACTTAATCTGTTAGTACTCAGTACTCTCAGTACATCTCAGTACAATCTCAGCAGGCAATTTCCTGAAACTATAGCACAATTGCTCATCTGTATTCACAGAGTGCATTTCCTCAAGAGACTTCCCTATGTCAGTGAAATCACAGTTTCAGAATACCCCCTCCCAAATATATACATAGGCACAATCAAATTGGTTGGCTATTGAGTATTCTTTTAATCTTATATATTGATATACTCATAATCATTACCTATATTCGATCCAGCTTGGTTTCTTCTTGGGGATGAAGATGTTTAATCAACACATGAAATTGGTGAACAGTATACATCTATATAAGGCATATGTGCCTTATAAAACCTAGATTCAGCTATTCAAGATCGGCTCTATTTTTTACTCATTATATGACATTGATCGAGTCACTTAGCTTCTCTGTCATTCCTCTTCCTCTCTGAGACTTCTCCATCCATAGAATTCAGGTGTTGACACTTGTACTTCCAACTTCATAGGATAGTTTTGTGGATCAGATAAAAATCATATATGTGAAAGAATTTTGTAAACTACAAAGTAGTCTATAAATGGAAGCTGTAATTGGTATTGTTATTTTTCTAGTGGACTTTGAAAAAAGAGCACAGAAAATGTGATCTTGGTGGGTAATAGGAGGGGAGGGAAACCAAATCACTAAACTTCTATAAAGAAGGCTTGAGGGTTTCTTCTATTCCTGACCTGCAAGGTTGCTTAATAAATTCTTGTGTTAATTAAGTATCCCTCCCAAGAAGAAACCAGTTGGGGTTGAATTGAGGTAGCAGTCATGAATAGAATTTCACTAGTCCAGGAATCTCACAGAATGATAAGTGATAGTGTAATATGATCTCTGTCATACATTTTTTATTTTGACTTATCTAAAGGAGTTCTATTTTTTAAACAAAACACTACATGCAAAGCGCAAGTATCTAAGCGATTACATTAGTTTATGTTTAGAAGTAACAACAATCTTGACATGTCTTTAATGATAAATAAATAAAACATTAGTTTTGATCATTAGGCTGTGTGTGTGTGTGTGTGTGTGTGTGTGTATTACAGTTTTACTAAAAGAGTTACATGGATTCTAAGAAACAAAGGAGTCTATGAGGAGTCAAAATTCCGGGGTTCAGATCTTGGCTCTCATTGCTGTGTGACTGAATAAACCATTCAGTCTCTCTGAGTCGCACTAAGCTCAGGCTTTAAAATAGGGCCAAATTTTAGTTTTCATTATTATATCAATGGAGTCATTGGATTCAGAGGTGGAAGGGACCTTAAAGATATCTAGTTCAACTTCTTCATTTTCTAGTTGAAGAAACTGAGGCCAGGGCCATAAAATAGCTTCCTTAAGATTCCACAGGGGGCAGTGCGGGGCTTCTGACTCCAAGGCCAGGGAATTCCCTGCTATGTGCTTTTCTTAAGGACTAATACATATAGGGGATTTAATGTTTCTCATTTCAAAGTCACTTTCCAAATGCTTAAATTTCATAAACTTATAAAAAGTTTACAGATTCTTTTCGGTGTAAATAAATCTCAAGGGATTATACTGAAAGACTGTACCTTGCTACAAAATCCCTTTGTGGCTTACTATGTACTGGAATTATCAATATTTGATGGAGGGAAAAATGACAGAACCACAAATAACATTTCTTTTTTGGGAAGTTAACTCATGAAGCACAGTGTTCTTCTTAACCTTGTCTACCATTTTCTGTCTGATCTTCAACTACACAAGTTACATGGTAGTTCATAGGTCAGAAGATAGGGTTTGGAGTATCATATGTTCTCACTACTAAAAAGAAAAATGGGAGAAAGCAAGGGAAATGGGAGAGAGAGATTCATCAAGGGGAGAGAATGGGAGATTGGGCCATATCTGAGTCAGTAACTACCTGAAAGGAAATGTCCCTCCTTGGGAAATCATTTTAAAATGGCATACTCATCATGGAGCAGCAAGTTCCCTTAGTGGATGATGATCACATGCAGGCCACTTTTCCTTAAGGGCATGCAGCCCACTGCAGTAGATAGATTGAACTGTATGGCTTATATTCTCATTCTAGAAATTAGAAATATCTTTTAAACCCTGGAAAGTGGATGGAACTACATGAGTCATAAAGCATAACATGAAAACTGGAGGAACAAATGAATAAGATGTAATTTATTTGGAATGGTTTCTCCTGAAGGCCAAAAAAAAAAAAACCCTAACCCACCTATAAACTGCCTTTTTCACCTCATAAAAGTTGGAGGGATTTAAAATGGGGGTTAATGATGGATTTCTCTTAATTCAAATTAGCCAATCAACCAATCCTTCGGCAGCTCATAAACCCACATTTGGAAAGATGCTTCATCTTCACTCAAACAAGCACAGCCTCCTTTCCAGTGACCATGTTTGCAGAATGAAAGCACCTCAGGAAAAAATGGAAGAGTAGTTCTCTCCAACATTCACTTGGTTCTGTGGGCAAAGGATTGTTGATAGTGAAGTCTGGCGAAGAAACTCTGTAGCCCAAATTCCAAAGCTGATCATTTGGCTTGAATAGGCTATAATCCTGTCTTTCCAATATTTAGGTATCCCAGTTTATTAGACACTGTGAAAGCTTTCTGCCATCATCAAGTTGAATTTGTTATTTTTATATAACTTTATGCTAAGGCTCCTATGATCATCAATTTAGAGACAGAAGGGACCTGAGAGGCCACTTAATACAAACCCCTCATTTTATAGCTGAGGAAAGTGATATCCAAAGAGATGAAGTGACTACCCCAAGATCACACAGACAGGAATTGGTAGACCTGAGATTTGATCCCAGGCCCACTATCTCCAATACCCATGCTTTTCCTGCTGTATCAGTCCTTACTTGTGACTTTATTTTTCACAAGCATTTGGCTGTTTTCCTATTAAAAGTGTCATTAAAGGCACAGAATATGGAATGGTCAGTTCTACAGAAAATGCTCTTCCTAAAACCTTAATTTCTGAGGCAACTAAACACCTTGGGCTAAATGTAGTTTTCGGCGAACAACTGTCCCAAGTACAATTCTTCTCCAAGGGCTATTTCTGCCAAAGAAGAACCCAGAATGAAAAAAAAAAGTGCAGTTCAGAGCAGTGGCTAATTTAGAGAGAAAGGGAAATGGGTAGGTCGTGGGTGACAGGGATGGAATTAATTACTAGATTCAGATAGTAGAGTCAAGTCAATTTTTCCCCCAGAGCTGCAAGAAAAAGTATCATTTTGAAAAGAATTAGACTGGATTAACCAAAATATAAGTCAGAAGAATGCAAAACCCAAGTGCAGGAAAAGATGTCTTGCTGATGGGTAACTAGTTTAAAGGAACTAAGTTGGCTTATAAACTCTGCTTGAAGGGTCAACAGTTTTCTTCTATTAAAAGTTAGGCTTGTTCTCTGACAGCATGAGCCTGCCTGTCAAAGGCGGCTTTGATGCTTTCTGCTCTCCTCATCCACAGAAAAGCCAGAATAGTCTCATGTGTAGGAATTTAAGAAAAAACAGTCATTCTATCTTTTCCACATGCCCATGGGGTTTACAGGTGGTTACCTTAGAAAGGTGTCGCTAAGAACTAAGGACAGATACTTGTTAGGAAACCATGACCTTTAGAAACCTGTAAGGGTAACTTTATTTGTTGGGGTGAATGGCTTGTTCCTGGGGTCATTTTGAAGGGTTTCTGTTAGGAGGGGGATTGTGTTTCCCCTTTTCCATTTCACAGAAGGGGGGGGATGGGGAGGCACAAGCAAACAGATCAAAGTATTGTGACAAGCCCAAGATGGGCATTCCCAACAATTCCAGACCAACACCAACAGATTCAAAGGATTCTCCAGTACCTCCGTCTTCCCCTGTCCTCTGCCACCTCTCGCTTCAATCTTAAGATTTCTCTGCCGGGAGGTATTTGACCACACAGACAGGTTAGAGTCCTTCGCTTGCTCCCCACTCTACTGAGCCCCCCATTCTCCAGCACTCTCCGGACAACGCTGGGCCGGTAGTGGGGGTGGGGGTTGATAAAGCACAACTCAGAGTGAGGGTGATTGTCCCTGGTGACTGCACTCCCCATCCCCAATCTCCTATCCCACCGAGTCAGGAACACCTTGACTCAAACACAACCCATACTGAAATCGGTCCCCCACCTCCGTTCCCACTGCCCCCCACCTTCAACACACACACACACACACACACACACACACACACACACACACACACACACACCACACACAAAGACAAAGTCAACCCCGAGGAGATGCCTCTCGAGTCTCCTGCGATCCGCAACGCCAACTCCGGCAGAAACTCACCGGCTTTATCAGCCCAGTTACCCAGGGACGAGAGGAGCAGCAAGAGGGAGCCCAGGAAGCAGACCTGGCCCAGCAGCAGCTCCTTTCTTTTCCTGCGAGCACGGAGCCGGTGCTGGTTGCTGGGCAGGAGCGGCAGCATCTCTGACTGCCGGAGGGGCAGCAGCGGTGGTGGTGGTCGGGGCAGGAGGAGTAGGCGGCGGCGAGCTGGAGCCGGAGCTGGAGCCTGAGCCTGAGCCCGAGCTGGAGCTGGATCCGGAGCCAGAACCAGAGCAGGAGCCAGGGCTGGAGCCTGAGCAACAGCTGCAACGGCGACCGGAGCCTGCTGTCCGCTCCCCTTCTCCAGCGCCAGCTTCACTACATCCATTAGCTTTTCCCTGCGTGTACACACAGACACACGCGCACACACACACACTCACACGCGCGCACACACGCGCGCGCGCGCTCACACACACACACACACACACACACACTCCTCACTCTCGCTCCCTCTCTTCTGCTGGTGAGCAGGGAGATGAGCCCAAGGAAGGGGCGGTGGGGGCAAAAACGGTCTGGTCTCCTAGGGTCTGTAGGTGCCCCTGAGGTAGAATCAGCGGCTTGCAAACTCCGCCGGGCAGGCTCACGGAAGCCCCTGGATTTTCCTCTCTCTTGCTTCCTCGCTCGCTAGCTCTGCTCGCCAAACCCACCCCGCCTACTTGCCCGCCCGCCCCCTCTTCTAGCCTGTGCAGAGGCAGGAGCTACGAGACCAGTCCTCTTAATCCATGGCCCTAGGGCTACCACCCCCTTCCTCCCCTCAAACAAGATCACTGCCCGGAGGAGAAGGACGGAGGCTCCGGACCCCGGGCCGCAGCGGAGGTGGCGGTGGAGGCGTGGGGAGGCGAAGGGAGGAGGAGAGGAGGAGGAGGAGGAGAAGAAGAAGGAGGAGGAGGAGGAGGAGGAAGAGGAGGAGGAGGGTTTGCCATGGATGCAGCCCCTGATCTTGCCAGCGAAGCCTGAATCAGGGTGGAAGAGAAAGAGGTGTGTGTGTGTGTGTGTGTGTGTGTGTGTGTGTGTGTGTGTGTGTGTCCCGGGGTGGGGGGAGGAGGAGAAGAAAAAGGAGAGGAGGAAGAAAAAGCAAAAAGAGGAGGGTGGGAGCACAGTGCTGTTGCCGTCTGTGCTAGGGTATGGAGGAAGGAATGAGAGGGAAGTGGATGAGAAAGAACACACCGAAATAAGCATACACAGAGGCAAGAAAGAGAGGTGTCTTAGAGAAAGGATCCACCCGAAACTTTCCGATCACCCGCGAGCCTCCTGGGGTCTCCCATTCACTCCGCCCTCTTCTCCCCCCTGAGTGTCACTACCCCGCGTGGCTCTCCCTTCACCGCCTCCACTCTCCACCTGCTCTTCCCTTGACCCCCTCCCCGACGAAAATTCTCCAGGACTCCCCTAAACCAGGACAACCAGACATTCTGTGCTGATCCTTCATGCCACCTTTGGTAACCCCCAGAATCCCCCACCACCCTTCCCTCTTTGGAGCATTCATCACCTCCCATTCATCTTCGGTGCTCTGTGATATTGGGATCTGACTTGAAGAAGGCAGTATGACCTCTCTTTCCCCCTCACTCAGGCCCATTGCTCTTTTTGTTGGTGGTGGTTGTTTCCCCACCCAAGGAAAATAGTTGCCCTCTTAGATCAAATGAAACTGGAATCACAGTTATCTCTAACACCTTTGGGAGAGGAGGACACATGGAAAGGACTATTACTTTCTATAAACAGGGTATAAAATTGACGAGGCCCCCACCTAACTGCAGAAATATTGCTATGCTCACTCATACCCTTACTAAGTGCCTTTTATAGTTGCACACACCCCCAAATAATTTTGTGAGGGTCTGTCCTGGCAAAACAAGGAGGTAGAGAATCCACACTTGGTATCTAATTTAAGAAGAAAGATAAGTAACTCAGGATTGATATTTTGGAATCACCTCCCTTTTCTAGTCTAATATCCCTCTAGGGTGGTTAGATTGGTGGGAATTCAATGAGATAGAAATGCCAGCCCCTTCCCTCATGCCCCCCCTCAAAAAATCCTTCTACTCTTTCACTGAAAACAAAAGAGCTTCTTCAGAAGTGGATCCAGGACAAACAAGAGATTCTGTGTCTGTGTGATTATCTCAGATGGAATCAGATTGGATCAGTAAGCTGTGGGGGGGAAAGGATGAAGGGAAACTCCTGGCATAATTTCACACTTCGAGGGTAGGGAGGATCCACGTTGATCCCCATTGCCTGATTCTGGCAGAACCTACAGACTTCACTGTACCTGCATGAGCCAGGATTTCCCCCCTTCCTCCCTTGCACAACTGATTTCTCATCAGTACTGATCCTTGCAACAGACAAATCAAATGGTCACTTTCATTTCTACAAAATATAACCTCTTTCTTTCTTCTTCTGTCTACTCTCTTCTCTACTCTCTTCTCTCCACCCACCCCCCCATCCCTGCCTAGCTATGATTGGAAGGAGTAACTCATCAGCACCTCTGGATCCTAGCTCATGCCTTTATTGTGCCTCAGTTTGTCTCATCCTCTCTGGGCCAGGTAGATATATGCATTGTTATTGTAGGATTGCTCAAGGGTGCCAGGTAGTCATGATGATTGAAAAGTAAATGCTATGATCCCCAAGAGAATGTGATTTGATAATTCAGCAGTCAGAATTACCTTGATCTGATATGTTTCCAGAGGAGGAAAAAAAGTAGTTCTAATTTAAGAAATCTTAACAACTCTACCTTAACTCAAGGAACCATTCCAGATTTTGCCCCTAGTTGTATCTAGAAAGAAATAAGAAGCAACTTAAGGAGGCTCAGACAAATATAACTATTTCTGAAGGAGTTGAGGAATGCATATAGGCAGAAGCAGAAGAAACAGTTGGTGATTGGACAAGGAGGAGGGGGACTACAGAAAACAAGAAAGGGCAAACAAGTTAACCGTCAACTTCAAGGAATTCATCTTCAGCTTGGGCCCCCCAGCTAGACTTCACTCCTGTGGCTCACAGAAAAAAATTCATTTAACCTGAAATTTTTTGGCAGGCTTCCTGGGACAGATTAAAGCAGGTTTGAAGAAAAGCAGAAGAGTTTTCCAAACAGCTAACTTACTGGGGAAGAATGGAGGTGGGGGGGGGCTTCTAGTCAGATATTTCATGGCATGTTACATCTGATGGTTACTTAGTGAGATACATAGGATCTTCTATTAGGGAAAGGCCTGCAGAATAAAGAATCCCTTCTTTGCCCCTTCCACAGATAGCCAAGTTACAAGGTGGCAGAGGCTTTTAAGTCATCTGTCAGTATGGGAAAAGTAGAAGGGAAACATTTCAATGGGTACTATATCTGAGAGGAAAGCTTTTATTTTTGTCTTGCTTTATTCTCCCCACCCCCCCAAATTGTACATTTCTGTGTATGACATTCTTCCATTCTCCCCCCCCCCCAGCCATGATTCATGAATAGGAATCTTGTGAGGAGAGGGGGGAGTGATAAATTGAAATTATGAACTTATCTCCTTGCCCCATCACTCTGGGCTATCATAAAAATGAGCAGGAACAAGCATGCACACACACATATGGCTTTGCCATTTTTATTTTTCTTTGCAATATTTCTTTTCAGATTTTGCCCTAAAGGAGCACGAAGAAAAAAATTTAGATAGAAATCCCAGTAGTTTGTATTGTTTTGATTTTGGCATGTTTGTGTGTAGAAGCTACCTCATCTTTTTCTCCGGTATATCCCATTTTAATTTTTATATAAACATTTTAGTCTCAACTCTGAGATATCCAGGAGATCTTGGCCTGTTTAGGGGCAACATAACCCAGTTGGTTTGGTTTTTTTTTTTTTCTCTAATCGTGTTTATATCAAAATCATAAAAGCTTCCTACCTACACATCCATTGGAATTATCACAGCCCAAGGCAAATCTTCCATCAACACAATAAATGATATCTTATCTGGGATAGCAAAACACACACTTTCCTGTACTACATTTTCAGGGTAACTTCCCTCTCCAGAAAATCTGAGTGTCCGTAACTAACAGTAGCTTACTGGACATATGAAAGGCTGTTGTCTAGGTAACTGGTAAAACAGCCAGGTGATTTTCATCAAGTCTCAGGGGGGAAGAAACAATCAGTTGTTTGACAAGTCAATTCATTCAGAACGGTTGATCTGGTAACCCCATGCAGATGCAGTCCAAGGGAACAAAGAAAAGGAAAATGAGACTAGATTTTTCACTAATAAATTAAAAAAAAAAACTTTGGTCAGAAAAATGCCAGAAGTGGACATATTCTTGAGTGTGTGCCCCACCTCACATTTCCAAACCTTCTCAAATCCTGATTTCCTTTTTACTTTGCTTTCTGACACAGCAGTCCAGAGCACCCTAAATGTTGCTGTATGGAACCACTGAATAATTTACATATAGCCTAAACTAAATCTTAATTGGACCATATTTATGAAATGCCTTATCTCCAAAGATCCTGACAAATAGAATCATAAAATCATAGATTTAGAACTGAAAGAGACCTCAGAAGTCATTAGGCTACTAACTTCTTCATTTTATGAGGAAATTGAGGCCCAGAGAAGTCAAATCACTTGACTAAGAACACACAGGTATGGGGTACATAATATACTAGTCAGCTGCTATGATCTCCTCTATCAGAGGAAGCAACATTTCAAAGACAAAGGAAATACATGTTGTGTATGAATTTGTCTGGACGTATTGGAACACAGTCTTTATCATAGAACGTAGACTAGCTAAAGTCATTCCCTGAATGGAATACTATTGTTCTGTAACAAATGATAAGCAGGCAGATTTCAGAAAAATCTGGAGAGACTTACATGAACTGAGGCTGAGTGAAGTGAGCAGAACCAGGAGAATATTGTACACAGTAACAGCAACATCGTGGGATGATCAACTTTGATAGACTTAGCTCTTCTCAGTAATGCAATGATCTAAGACAATTCCAAAAGATTCATGATGGAAAATACTATCCACACCCAGAAAAAGAATTGTGAAGTCTGAATGCAGATTAGGAGGGAGGAAAAAAAAAAACTGGGAACTCAAAATCTTATAAAAGTGAATGCTGAAAAATATCTTTACATATAATTGGAAAAAATAAAATACTATTAAGTGGGGGGGGGGAGTCATTACCTGGTTGAATAATAATGTAACAATTCATTCAGCTCAATACTATAGTAAAAAGTATTTGCTTATTCTAAGTTATAATGTTTCAATTTTCTTTTCATTAAGTATGTGAATGGATTGTGATTTTCGCCTCACTGTGCATCATATTTATGCCCAGATGTATATATATTTATATATGATATATGCCCAGATGTAGGTATATGTGTACATATGCATATT